AAATGCAAATCTTTCTGCTGTTTCCCTGTACAGGGTGAGTTTGATGCAGGTTACCTGTATGAGTGTAAGCTTCCCGAGGATGCTGAGGGGATCGAGGCTGTGAAACCCGGCAGAGCGGTACCCATGCTGGAGACGGACGACGTGCCCATCACCTGTATCTCTCTCAGGTGAGTGTGTACATCTTGGGATACAGTTACATGTAGATACCATACCAACAAAGTCATTAGGCTTTGAAGACTGTCAGTATTTGTGATTTGGAATGTTCATACAGTACGTTTGTTAATTGTGCACTATTCTGTCCTAGTTGGAACCAACAAAAAAATAATAACTATACAGTATTGTGTGTACATCGTTACATGCTGATCTTGTCCATCCAAGATGTTGGTATGGGCAAAATTCCATCAATTGGGGGATGCTGGCTAGACCACTGGATCGTTCCACAGCCGACTGATGATGTTTGTTAACTGTACATTATTCTGCTCCTCAGCTGTAACCAGCGACAGGTGCTGCTAGGCCTGGAGAACGGCAGCCTGTTGTTGGTGTGGATGATGATGATGTTTGTTAACTGTACATTATTCTGCTCCCCAGCTGTAACCAGCGACAGGTGCTGCTAGGCCTGGAGAACGGCAGCCTGTTGTTGGTGTGGATGATGCGATGATGTTTGTTAACTGTACCTTATTCTGCTCCTCAGCTGTAACCAGCGACAGGTGCTGCTAGGCCTGGAGAACGGCAGCCTGTTGTTGGTGTGGATGATAATGTTTGTTAACTGTACATTATTCTGCTCCCCAGCTGTAACCAGCGACAGGTGCTGCTAGGCCTGGAGAACGGCAGCCTGTTGTTGGTGTGGATGATGCGATGATGTTTGTTAACTGTACCTTATTCTGCCCCCCAGCTGTAACCAGCGACAGGTGCTGCTAGGCCTGGAGAACGGCAGCCTGTTGTTGGTGTGGATGATGATGATGTTTGTTAACTGTACATTATTCTGCTTCTCAGCTGTAACCAGCGACAGGTGCTGCTAGGCCTGGAGAACGGCAGCGTTCGGATCCACCCCCTGGAGGGAGACGATGACTGGGAGTCGCGGGACATCGCAGCTGAGTTCGGCGCCTACTGGCAATACAGCATCCACGACTCGCACGCTGGCAGCGTCACGCAGGTATTTGATTTGATTTGATTTATTGCACTATGTACAAAGGACTGCAATTTATTTTAGTGTATTGTTATGAATAGAAACAATAGACCGATGTAACTGAAAAATCTGGAGAAAATAAAAATCTCGAGATTTTATAGTAGCTATCAAAAAATTTCGAGATTTTTAGAAAAATTCATTTAGAAATTTTTTTTCATTTTTGATGAAGCATGAAAGGTCTCACAGGGGGTACATGTATTATGATCCATTGGGTGACAGAGAATCTCTCCACAAAATATCAGATGGGTAGGTTTAGGTAGTAAAAGACTAGAAGCACTAGTTCAAAGTGCTTTGCTCAGTCCAAATTTAATCTGCTCGTTGTTTGTGACAGATCGCCACCAGCTTCGAAATTGTAACAATACTGTGCACGTGGGACACAGGCAGCTGTTGCTGGTGTTGTGTCCCACACAGAGAAACAAATACAGGACAGGACAATACTCGTTTTCACTTCAGTTTAGTGGGGAATTAGTCGTGTGAAGTGCTTTTCCCAAGGGCACAAGATCGGTGGCATGTCAGGACCCGAACCCGGGACCTCTTGGTTCTGAGTCGAGCACTCTGCCGTTACGCCACACGACCCAAATTGTTTTGAATCAAAACAATAAACCAATGTTATACTTACAGATCGCCACCAGCTTCGACGACCAGTACCTCTTCACGGCCGGCGCGGACGGAAACGTCTTCGCCTTCAAGGTCCTGTCTCAGGAGGAGATCGACCGGTCCAGGGCGGCCGAGAGGGCAAAGGTCCCCTCAGCGAAGGTGAGCACGGCATCAGGTTTTGTCGTTATCATGAAAGTTCATCTGTGTTGGTAATTAATATCTGTGTCCATAATATCACCAGGGTCCATAATATCACCACCTTGAGAAATAGTGTGCTTAAAGATATTTTTACTGCAACATGCCCTAGGTATGTACATTTGAGGTGTGCAGGAGTGCATACCAAAAGTATGTTGCAGTAAAAATATCTTAAAGCACATTATTTCTCAAGGTGGCGATATTATGGACACGGATGTTACATGTTAAAAGTTAAAACTTTATCTCCAACACAAAAAATTCTCTCACCTAGAGCTTTTGACCAGTCACTAGTGGTCTTCCTCAGTAGACTGACCCAGTGAGGCTTGTCACGTGGCTTGTTTGAAGTGTGACGTCGACACTGGGTCAAAGGTATCTGGTATTTTTGTCATTGTCAGGTTGATTGACCCATGTATTGCATGTTGCAGTTTCAACAAAATAAGATAAGATACAAACAATTTACAATTTGTTGTTTTTATTGCAGTACAAGGATGAGGAGGCCATCAGAAGGGTGGAGGATATTGAGAGTGAAGACCATTACAGGTTTGTGGCAGCTTTCTATTTTGGATTTGAATGACACTAACCCTCTGACTTAGACCCATTTTACGTATGGTCATAAACCAGACAGTAAAAACATTGCATAAGGTTGAATTTTTCCTGAGTGTAAATGGGCCTGCTTTGATGTAGGTCAAGTACCTTTAGGGCTGCCATAAGTTCTTTATCTACGTCAAAGCATGCCGATTTGCACGCAGTAAGAATTAGATGCGCCCAGTTTTTCATTGTAGAACTGCCAGATATCGCAAGAGCACATTGCCTTACCTAGTAGACCTACTCAACAACAAAGGGTTAGCATTATCAATGACCAGGAAGATGAGCATACTGTAAGGTTCCAAATGTTTAGTTTATGTATGTAATTATATATACTATATATTCTTTATTGTCTTTTAATTGAAGATCATACTTTACTTCAGCTGTTGAAGGCTGCCACTGTACGATCTGTAATGATAATGAGGATGTAAATGAACCATTCATTTTATTTTATTATTTCTGACATGATTGTTTGATACTCTTCCCCCCCCCCAGCATCGAAGATGCCAAGCAGAAGGCGGAGCACGACAAGATGATGCGGCTGGCCGAGGAGCAGAAACAGAAAACGAGGAAAGCCATCAACCAGCTGCGGCGGAAGTTCAACAAGCTGATCGAACAGAACCAGGAGCTTCCGGGACACGCACAGCTCGACAGAGTGGTGAGTCTTTCTAAAAAGGTTATCATTTAGTAGTTACTGTAGTAGTGATTGGTATATTTCTCATATTAATATTTCAAAGTTTCGCAGATCACACATGTGTACACTGAATTGAACTGTGAATTTGATTTTCAGAATACAAATTTTACAATTGTCTAAAAGCATCAACAGGCTAAAACTGCTACAGTCTTTAACACATTGATTATAAATAGGTACATACATGGACAATAAAAATACAGGATGAGATACCTTATCATTTCATGAGTCTGCCCACCATACTGTACTTAATGTAGCCCACCTGTACAAGTGCCTGTATTAGACATCTGTGGGTCTGAAAAATATTGGGACATTGCAAATTGAATGTGGTAAAACATTACATTTTACATGGAAAAGAGTGTCTTTTTCATATTACACAATGTTCTACTAACAGCTATATTTTTTTTTTTTTAGACTGGTTTATTTGCAGAAACACATACTTCATACATACATAGTACAGTAGGTTAGAAGCTTTTTGCAGCCAAAGGCTGAATTGAGAAGCTTTTACAAATTTTTTAAAAAATTACATGACTAATACATAATATATATACATAAAAAGTGCCTTGAGAGGCATTAAACACCATTTATACGCTAGAATAATACACATTTATGCTAAAATTACATCATACAACTTCTGTTGGCAAATTACTTAGGTACAACTGACAATAATAAAAAAGTACAATTACATCATGTGCAACAACATAAAATGAAATCTACTGTATGGCAAGGTTATTCAGTATGTTCAGCATTGTGGGGACAGGACTGCATAAATATCTTTTTGTCCCAATGGGTGGTTTGTAGCGCCGTGTTTGCCTTAGCTGCATGTTGTGTGAGTGGTTACTAACTGGGGGTAGCCAGGGGGCGTGCCTAGACCTAGTGGCTGAAAGGGCAAAGGCCCGGCACAGGGTCAGTCTCCGTTCAGACAGACGTTGGAGGTCAAGAGTTGACAGGGCCTCGGAATACGAGTGATAGCTTCTACCCAGCATACTATATTTCTGCATCTCTATCTGTATAGCAGGTACAGCCCTTCGGCATAAGGCACCAGCTTTGCGGGCATGCGGCACAATGACAGCTAGCTATATTACGCCACAAATTTCATCGATCTTGTTTTACATGTACTTCTGTCCTCAGGAGTTTGAGCTTGACCCTGAGAACCGTACGGAGATGGAGCGGGTGACTCTGGAGCGGCTGCAGCTGGTCCATCGGGAGCTTGACTGGGAGAAGGAGAAACACTCGCTGGCCCTGCACAAGCTCAAGGCTAGGTAAGGCCTGGGGTTTATTTATAATTATTTGTATTTAGGTTTAGGATATTGAGTAGTGACAATAATTTTGTTCTGCCGTAGGGTGAGTGGGTGGAGAAAATTATGGCAATTAAAGCTGCAGCTTTATAGTCTTGGTAGGTCTGTAGCTGCCAGTTGCAGCACACTGCAGACAAATTATGCCAAAAGATTCTATAAAACCACATCAGTTCCCTATAATCGCGTGATTCCAAACCAGTGTTCTAGTCAACATCTGTCTCTCTGTCATTTGATGCTCATTTTGTTGCTCATGCCAAATCCATCGTCTTTGACTGACAAAAATGTAAAGATATGGAAAGAGATATCATTAATTATACCAGCAAAATTTGCCCCTGCAGGAAATGGGGTCTCAGGGAGTCAAGATTTTTAAAAACTCTTTACTTGACATGACGTTACATCAGACAAAATTGAGATGAGGCCACACCAATTTAATTCCTTGGTTAACGGATTTTCCGCTTCATTTTTTTCTGATTTGCAAATAAAAATAAAAATTCAGAATCAACTGCAAAATGCTCATATTTTGCCCTGAACCGTTGAAAACAGTCATTTTCTTACTACTTGTAACAGTCATTCCATCTTTCAATGCAGTAGTATCATTAAAAGTTCAAAATAGTTCAAAATTCATTGTTTAAATTTTGAACCAGCCTGGTGTGTTGACTTCATGGCTCCTGTCGTACCATTTTGGGCCATAATAGGATGCCTAGGCCTGTTTTTATTTTTTTATTTTTTTCGCCCGCCCGCTCCATTATTTTTATAGAAAAATCCGTTAACCAAGAAATTAAATTGGTGTGGCCTGATGGAAAAATATTTCAGGCAGGACAGAACAATGCTTATTGATTATATGATATCACATGGGTCATCCCCTGTGATCCCTTGCCGAATCCCAAAGGACCTGTTGTACAGTAAACTTGCCAATGGGACAAGAGCACGTGGTCGTCCTCACCTGCGCTTTAAAGACGTTATTAAATGGGACATGAAAGACATGGACATCATGAGATATCAACACATGGGAGACACTAGCAACAAACAGAACACTCTGGAGACAGGGAGTTAAGAAGGGCTTACATCGGCGGGAAGAAAAACAGAGACTTACATCAGAACTGATCAAGACGCTTTAAGCGCAAAACCAAGAATTAGTGCATGGTGTAGGTAAAGTACATTCATGGTCTTGTAAGACCGACGAAATGCCTGCTACATCCCTACAGGTTTAAGGACATCCTGATGTCGGAGCGGCTGGTGGTGCACAGTTTCGAGACGGGCCACCTGGTGTCGACGTTCCGGCTGGGGAAGCTGTCGGAGGAGTACTACCAGCTCCGGAGGGAGATGGAGCAAAGACAGTCGTCTGTGGTGGAGCCCGGGGAGTTCGGCAGCACACGGGAGTCAACGGACTACTCCCTCAAAGGTACGTTGTAATGGCTGAGTTAGTGTAATACTATGTAGATCACATTATGTACTTAGATGGAGCAAAGACAGTCGTTTGTGGTGGAGCCTGGGAATTACTTCATCAAAGGTAAGACTCCTTACCAGGTAAATATTGTACGTTTGGGAATGCATCTACAGCAGCGACACCTGTGCTGCAGTGCAATGTGAACCAGTCAGAATTGCCCTGAGGAAGGTGACAGACGGTCACTGAATGTAACCATTGATTGTGTGGTTGTGTCCATGGTGCTGATTGTGTGGTTGTGTCCATGGCGCTGATTGTGTGGTTGTGTCCACGGTGCTGATTCTGTCCATGGTGCTGATTGCGTGGTTGTGTCCATGGTGCTGATTGCGTGGTTGTGTCCATGGCGCTGATTGTGTGGTTGTGTCCATGGTGCTGATTGTGTGGTTGTGTCCACGGTGCTGATTGTGTGGTTGTGTCCACGGTGCTGATTGTGTGGTTGTGTCCACAGTGCTGATTCTGTCCATGGTGCTGATTGCATGGTTGTGTCCATGGTGCTGTTTGTGTGGTTGTGTGCATGGTGCTGATTGTGTGGTTGTGTCCATGGTGCTGATTGTGTGGTTGTGTCCATGGTGCTGATTGCGTGGTGGGTCATTTGTATCAGTATAGCCGGTATAACCGCCCTACGGTGTAACACACCAGCTTCTGTATCTGTATAGCCGGTATAACCGCCCTTCGGCGTAACACACCAGTATCTGTATCTGTATAGCCAGTATAACCGCCCTTCGGCGTAACACACCAGCTTCGCAGGCACGCGGCGCGGCGGCAGCTAGCTATATCACACCAAACGGCTTGTTACACTTAATCTTTGCACATTTGATTGCAGGAGTTGTTTAAAGCTTTCTAGTGATGATGCCCAAACTGTGCTTGGTAGCAACGAGTTCCAGTCTACGATAGTTCTGGGGAAATACGAGTTTTTGAATACCTGAATTCTTGGTTGATAACTCTGATATTTGAAACCATGACAGTTTCTTGTTCTTTTCTGGGCTGGTATACTTAGTGGTTGGTACGTCCACCAGTTTATTAGTCATTTTGTACATCATGCACAGTCTGGACATTCTACGTCTGTCTTCCAGCGACCCCCACTGTTATGTTCTCTTTTCTCCAGCTGCGAAGGAGAGTGAGGATGAGGATGAGCCTAGCCAGGCCGGCCTGGGGATCCCCGGGACGGTCCCGAAGAAGGGGCAGGTCCAGCTGACGGGACGGCTGGGGGAGAAGGTCGCCAAGGCCCTGAGGAAGGCCGAGCTCGCCAAGAAAAGACGGGAGAAAAGACAGACGGAGGTATGTCATTCATTAGGCCATACAAATTTCATTTGTTGTTTCTCGGATTTTTTCAGAAAAATATAAAGCGACAGGCCTAGGCATCAAATATATGATAGCCCCAAATGCTACGATAGGAGCCATGAAGTCCACATACCAGGCTAGATTGTAATTCAAACCACTGTATTGATAGATGGAAAAACAGTAACTATGAAGAGAAGGAACTTCCTTCAACTGTTGGGGCCAAAATATACATTTTGGAGTTGATTCAGAGGCTGAAAAAAATTTTTTTTTTTGGAAATTCTAAACAGCTTGTAATATTATCCTTACAGTGGGACGCTCTGCTCAGCAACAAGCCAGATGAGAACTATGAGGACCCGCAGGACCTGGCAGACATCAAATACGCTCAGGAGAACATGGGGGACGTAAAGCTGAAGACTGCCAAGGACTACACGGTGCCAGAACACCTGAGGATGAACGCAGAGAAGAAGAGAAACCAGCTCATTGTCCTGAGAGGATTGGTAGGCATTTATCATGAAAGTTCTTTAGTGTCTGTTAGTAGAATATTCTTCAATCAGTGACTTTTTTGAAAGGTAGAAACGCGTACCTCCACGTACATTCATTTGTGTCTGTAGTAATCATAGTAAAAAGTTGAACATTATTTATGTTTTGAAGTGATTGATCATTAATTGTCCTGATGCAGGCAACAGTGGTCGCTGAAAATTTGATCTCTGTTGAACCTGTGTGTTGGAATAAAGTTCAACTTTTTACTATGGTTGGCATTTATTTTACTGTTTAACACTCCTGATAACTTCAGCAAGCACCCTGTGTATTCGATCACATTATGTAGCAAGTGGCAGGCCATGGTTTGAGGGACTGGTCACCATCTATATGAAATACATGATATGAATGTGTTTGAGTAAGAATAAACAGAGCAGTAGTTTGTCAGGCTATAGGCCATGTGAAGGTCAACTTTGCAACTAGTCCCTCTCTGGTTTATTTTATTTTATTCACATTTATTTTTCGAGGATTGGGCAAAAAGTTATAAAACTTATCTCAGCCCTCTCCTCACACATAAAAGGAAACAATAAAACAAAGTAATAATAAGAAGAAGAAATGACAAAGGTACATAATGAGCTGGTGTACAAATCAAAATCAATCAACTAAATCAAACAAAACGTCCTGGTTTCTATAACCTTATTATGTTGCACAGACTAAGCATAGCAATAGATTAAAACTCCAGGAGAAAGCTATGCTAAATCAGCAATGAAGCAGCCACTGTTTCTTAAAAGTCCAGGCTTACCTTGCGGTAGGACAGCTCGGTACTTGCTAGTAATATTTTTTTACATCCATCTGTAAATATTTTGATGTTTTTTTAGAAATGTTTTTTTTTTAAATAAAAAATACACTTCTTGTGCTTTCAGATTCATCACCAGAAGGAGTTGTTTAATAGGCGGGTTTACGCTTTGAGGCAGGAGAAAATCGGTGTGATAGAAGAGGTAGGTTCAGGATCATCCTGTTCTCAATAACATCCACAATATTGTCAGATTATACTTGTCATGAACATCTATTTTTAAAGAATTATGTTCCTGTAAGGATATTCCATGTAGACTTGTAGGTATATTTATGGGCATGGCTTCAACCATGTAACCAATATCTTCTTACCAGTATATTTGTCTGACTTCAATGGAAAGCGGCCAGCTGGCTGATTTAAGTATTTTATGACTGAAACAAACAAACAAACAAATGAGACCTTGATATTTTCCCAGCAGGCTGATTTGAATATTTTATGATTAAACATTGACAAAAACAATAATAAAAAAATCAAACAAGTCTAATAATTTATGTATGTTCATGACCAAACAAAGCCTAAAACAAACAAACAAAAAGCCAATGATAATGTCTCAGAGTTGTGATGTATTGTTCCCCGGTGTTCACAGATCCAGCAGCATGTGACTGCCCTGGAAGCTTTGCAGTCTGATTATAATTTCCCAAAGCTGTGATCTGGAATAAAGAGACTCCTCTTTCTTTACACAACCAAGTGTTTTATTCAGGCGACATTTCTGTGACCGCCTGTCAACAGGTTTGCCCTGAGCAAGTTGACCAAAACATTGGCGAAACAAAAATTGTGTAAAAAGAGTCTCTTTATTCAGTGAATTACCAACCTGATAAAACCGTCATGATGTTTTGTTCCCTGGTGTTCACAGATCCAGCAGCATGTAACGGCCCTGGAAGCCTTACAGACAAAGTTGGCTCCCAGTAAGAGGAAGGGTCTGCCTCCTGTACCACAGCTGCTGCCTGATGAACAGCCGGAAAAGTCAGTCACTGTTTATATTATTCCTTTGGACTTCTGCATCTTTTAGATGAACTGTGTGTGTGTGTGTTTGTGTGTGTGTGCGTGTGTGCGTGCATGTGACTGTGTGTGTGTGTGACTGTGTGTGTGTGACTGTGTGTGTGTGCGTGTGTATGTGTGTGTGTGTGTGTGTGTGTGTGACTGTGTGTGTGTGTTTGTGTGTGTGTGTTTGTGTGTGTGTGTGCGTGTGTGTGAGTGTGTGTGTGTGTGTGTGTGTGTGTGTGTTTGTGTGTGTGTGTGTGTGTATGTGTGTGAGACTGTGTGTGTGTGTGAGTGTCTGTGTGTGTGTGTCTGTGTGTGTGAGTGTGTGTGTGTGAGTGTCTGTGTGTGTGTGTGTGTGTGTGAGTGTCTG